GGAGGCACTCTCTGGGCAGGAGGTGACACTCCAGTTTGGGCCCTCACCCAACAGTGTGGCCAGCTGTGCCCACCCTCCTTTGTGGCTCCCTTTTTATATTTGCCCCATAAGCCCAGGGGACAAATGACAGCTCCATACCTATGGCCTGTGTGGACTCCTGCTTTTGCTTCAGCTCCCCTTCCAGGATGGCCACCTTCGTCTTTAGGTCACTTGTTTCTACAGCAGCCAAGAGAGAGGCCCTTCAGAGGCTCTCTTGGGCCCACCGGCTGCCTTCATGCCCCATGCACCCTGCAGAGGGGAGGCAGCCATCGCCCTGTGGAGGGGCCGTGGAGGGTTGCAGGAGGACTCTGGGGCAGTGCCAGGAAAGCTGGGCCTGTGCACCCTGCTTCTTACCAGCTGTCTGCCATATCTCTACACCTCCCTGGACCTCAGTGTCCTCCGTGGAGAATGACAATGAGGCTTGGAGGGCAGTGACTTGCCCAAATCCCTCAGGCCTTACATCAGTGGGCATCGGCCAACCTCCCATGCCAGTAGTTGTATCTCTTTGCGTGATGGCTTTTGCCAACTGGCAGAGGCTGCTCTGCTTGGCTGGAAATGCTAGGGGATCACCTCCCCAGGAGTAACCCTCAATGACTGGTAGGAGTGTGTGGATAAATACCCCAATGCCCTCACCCCTCTGGTGGCGTAACTCTGAGGCACGTGTTCTACACAGTCTCTCAGTGTTCCCCAATGGGATTCAGCTCCAACTGCCCACAATGTGACTGGCTTGATGAACACACCCTTTGTCACTGCCTTCCCTTCCCTGTCTCTCTTCCCCACCTCCCCAGCCTGGGTTTCCCTGTCCTCCCAGATAAACTGCTTGCACTCGAAGCCCTGTCTCGGGGTCTGCTTCAGAAGAGCCCGCGCTAAGACCGTAGCAGAGCCTCTGGGCCACTAAGTGTCCGGCCTCTGGGGCACAGACCTGCAAGCAGTTGCTGCTTGTTGCACTCCCACTCGGCCAGGTGCTGCTCAGCCTCCTCTGCCTGCTGCCGCCGCACCCCCTGCTCCTGCTGCAGTGTCTGCTCCAGCTCGCCCACCTGCTTCCTCAGTCCATCCTTCTGCCCCTCGGCCTCCTCCAGCTGGGCCCTGAGGGGCCCGACAAGCTGAGTGAGGGCCCCCACATGCTTACTGATGCGCATCAGGTCTTTGCTCTGCTCTGCCACCCAGCGGCCCACGGTGGCGGCCGGCAGCGGCCTGAGCCCCATGCTGTCCTGCACCAGCTGCTGGAACTGGTCTAAGGACGAGGGCAGGTTCTGGCCCTGACACAGGCTGATGACCACCTTGCCCACCTCCCGCAGGCTGCCCTGGACGCTGGTGCACGCGTCACAGGGCACCAGGGCCGTCTCAACCGTCTGGGAGTGGACACTCCTGGTGTTCTCGGCAGCTCTGACTGGACACTGCAGGGAGACTCTGGTGGGGATGCTGTCCAACTTTCGGCAGCTCTGGGACAAGCCTGGCATTGGGGAAGAAGGCTTGATGAACTTGGCAGTCACAAATTCAGGGCTTCTGGCTGGCTCACCCTTGGCCGTGGGCTTGGAGGTGGGGGTCTCTCCCTGGTTTGCCCTTTTCTGTGATCAGGAAAATAAAGGGAAGGCAGGTGAGGTCGACAGGCCTAGGAGGTGACCAGGTCCCTGGGTATGTTCTGTGACCAGTCTGCCTGACGTTCAGACCTGCTAACACTATCTGACACCAGCGTGAATAAGAGAGAGAGAGAGCTTTCTCCTCCTTCCTGCTCCCTCAACCTACTAAGCCAGAGCCTCCTCCTGGCTGCCCCCTAGGTTTGATGCAGTTCTATGCCTGATATTGGGAAGGTGATGGTGACAGTAACAGCTGCTCATTAATGGGTTCTCTCATGTCACCACATCTGCTCTCGGCTTTAGTTTCCACCTAAAACTAAAGGCGGACAGGTCCTCCCTCACTGGGTGGTTGTGAGGATTACAGGATAACCCACAGTAGATGTAAGTTCATATCAGCACTATCATCCACAACGCCCTCAGAGGTAGGGATACTCCCAATGTACAGATGAACAAACCGAGGTCCAAAGTCCCACAGCATAAAGAGCTGAGCCAGGTAGCCCAGACATGCTCCAAGGCATGTGTTCTTAACTACTGTGCTACGTGGGCCTTGCTTGTGAGGTTCCAGAGTTTATACTGTACCTGATGGGCAGTGGGGAGCCAGTCCAGAACACAGGGGTCCACAATAGAGTGCTAGGAAGTTGGGGCAGGGTGGTCTAGAATGTAAGCGCATAGGGACCCACCAGCCAGGACCTGGGGGAGGGGACGGGGATGGGGCCAACCCACCTGGGGAGCCACCTGCTGGTAGAGCATGCCGACCCTTAGCAGGCTGTTCCAGAAGCGCCTCACTGTGAGCCCCACAGACATGCAGGGCCCCATGGCCTGGGCCGGGGGCATCATCTGCTCTGAGCCAAGGTTCTCTAGGTAGCTGGCACAGCTCTGAAGCAGCAGCAGGAGCCTGTGGGCAGAGATGCCAGGGCAGGCTGAGGCTGAGGCCAGCACGCCACAGAACCATATGCCTCTGTCTCTGGGGGACTGGCCTAGGCGTAAGAGACTTGGAGAGGCCAACCCAGGGGTCACTTCTTCCAGGAAGCCCTTCCTGGCCCCCAGGCTCCGCTCAGTGTGGCCTCTTCTGTGCCTCCCAGTGGCAGCATTTCTGTTTGGCTGATCCCTACTGCACTGGGGATCTCCAGGGAGCGCCAAGACCTGGCCTGGTCTCGACTCAGTTGGACCCTAAGTGCTTGGAAAGCACCAGGTATGTGGCTGCTGCCTTCTATCACATGGTCCAGAGCCTGCCCACAGCCACAGGGCAAGCAGGGCAGGGCAGGGGCAGGTGTACAGGCTCCTGAGTCTAGTCCTGGGGCTTCTGCTACAGGGCAAGCTGCTCTGTGACAGTGGAGTTGTACAGTGAAGATAGGCAGGTCTCTACCCAACCTTGAAGTTCCAAATTAGAGTCAGAGAGACTAACTGTAAGGCTCTGGTTCTGGCCTGGTTCTGAGGGATGGGGAAGCACCAGGAAAAAGGACATAGAGATCTATCTGCTTAGATAGACAGACAGACAGACCCTCACAGTGGGAGACTCCTGTGCTGCTGGTGTTAATTTCCTCCTCAGCCCTAATTCCATCCCCTGGCATGAACTGAGCTTCTCTAAATGCTACTTGCTGGGCCGGAGCTGAGCTCCTGAGATGCCTCACTGTGGCCCCATCCTCAGGGCGCCCAGTCTTTCTGGGTCCCAGACCCGCCCTCTGCTAGGAGTTCTACATACTCAAGGGGGCCCAGAGGAGGTTCCACTACTCAGGCAGATGTGGGCAGGGAGTGGGGTGGGTGTGCTGATGTCAGTGACAGCCTCACAGAGGAGAGGACAAGTGAACTGGGCCTTGAAGGATGAGGAGGACTTGGCCAGACCAGGAAGTGGGTGCAAAGGGCATTCCTCACAGAGGGAACAGCAGGTGCAAAGTTATGGAGAAGGAAGGCATGTTCTGTTTTCACACGCTCAGCACCTCACAGGTTACAAACTGTGTTTTTGCACAGAGGGCACCTTCAGGCCTCACAATGGTAACCCTAGCTTCTCTGTCCTCAGACAGGTCCCTCTCACATTTGTGCTGCCTCTCTGCCCCTATCATTTTATTAGGGTGTTATTGGTGGTTCAACAGTAGAATTCTCGCCTTCAATGTGGGAGAACCAGATTCACTTTCCAGCCAATGCACCTCATGTGCAGCCACCACATGTCTATCAGTGAAGGCTTGTGTGTTGCTCTGATGCTGAACAGGTTTCAGGGAAGCTTCCAGACTAAGAAAGAACAGGGAGAAAGGCCTGGTGATCTACTTTGGAAAAATTAGCCAGTGGAAACCCTATGGATCCCGACGGTCTGATCCACAACCAATGATGGGGATGGTGCAGGCCTGGGCAGTGTTTCGTGCCATTGTGCACGGGGACGCCATGAGTCAGGGCTGACTCGATGGCAGCTAACAACAACAACAGAATTTTTGAGCACAGGGAGCCTGGGCTGTGGCCCCAGGAAGTGGAAGGCTGATGACTGTGTTAACTTAAATGATAGCATAGACTCCACCAGCCTCTTCCCAGCAGGGCCAGCCAGGACTTAGGAAAACAATCCCGTGTCTGGCTGTGTGACATGCAGAGGGAACAATGCAGCCACAAGATGCCAGGAAAAAGAGCCTGGGATGGAAACTCTGAGTGGCAGCTGTGGTGTCCTCGATATACAAAACCCCCAGGAGGCAGCGAGAGCAGTTGCAGGGTGGCCGGCAACCCCCTGCAGGTGGGGGTGGCGGCTAGGACCAGGAAGTGTGGTGTCTGACCCGAGCCCAGCAGAAGCTGGAGGGGCTGGGGGATGCCAGGCCTGGACAGCACCTCAGAGAGCACCAGTCCACTCCACATTCTATAAACAAGGCCACTGGGGCCCAGAGAGGGAAAGGGACTCCCCCAGATAGCACAACAACTTGGCAATGGGGCTGGGATTGGAGCCCGTGGCTCCCCTCTCCCAGGCCAGGTTCTCTCCACCCATCAAGCCACAGAGTCATTGATGATGACTGTCATGTGCTGAGTGCTGGCTGTACATCGGCCAGCATCCAAGGCCTCCACAGGCACTGTCTCATTGCTGCTGAGGCAGGACTTAACTATTATCCCCATTTTACAGATGAGGACACAGAGGCTCAGAGAGGTGCTGCCACTTGCCCTACATTCTATGGCAATGTAGCCTCCTGGATGGTAATGGTTATCCCAGGCATGAACATCCTCCATTTCACAGATGAGGAAACACGCCTAGAGCCCCAGTATTATCTGGACGTGCTGCTGGGTTACATTAGATCTTCTGGAATGAAAGTCAGTCCTTTGGGCCTGTCTGCACCAGCCTCTTGAGTGCTCCCAGCCAGGGATGGATTACCCAATAAGCAAGGTACTCATGGGCTTACTTACTAATCTGTAGTGCACAATTTCACCTGTTTTTCACCACACCAAAGATTTGGTGAAACCCATGTGAAATTGTTCACGTGTGGTATAAGATCACGTGTGGTATGATGCCCTTTTTATAAAGGAGAAAATGAAAACATCTAATACAAAGCAGCATGTTGTTTGATATATATCTCAACACACACAAAGGCAAGGCAATAACCACAGACTGACGGGAGTGGGTTCCTCTGAGGAAGCCACGGAAGGGTAGGGCGTGGCGCACAGGGAGAGAGAAGTCACTGTTAAACTGTTGGTTCCTCGGTTGGGTGGGTGGTGTGTTCACAACTGCATTATATTACTTAAAAAATAAAATTAAATAAAAAAGGGCTGTGTGTGGACCAATGCTAACTGTGATCATGAACCAGGAGTTACAGTTACCCAATTCTGTATATCTAAGGTCCATTAAACGAGCCCTGGTGGCGCAACGGTTAAGCGCTTGGCTGCTAACCAAAAGGTTGGCAGGTCAAACCACCCAGCAGCTCCATGAGAGAAAGACCTGGCAATCTGCTTCCGAAAAGATTACAGCCAACAAAACCCTATGGGGCATTTCTGCTCTTTCACATGGGGTCGCTACGAGTTGAAATAGACTCAGTGGCACCTAACAACAACAAAGTCCATTAAATAAACAAAATAATATAAAGATAATGAAACTGAAATTAAATGAAACAGGACTGAACACAACTGAAGTGGGAGATCACTGTGAGAGCCCTGAGTTCCTATCTGGCCCCAACAGGTGCTCAGTCAATGGGGACTATCATCACCTCCTCTGGAGGGGCTCTTGTGGCTGCTACAGTTTTAAGGGGCACATGCCAGCGCCCTGAGATGCCCAGGTTCGGCTGAGGCCCTCACCTGTCAATGACCAGCTCCAGCAGCACAGCATGGGACAGCTGCGTGAACTCAGGGTCACTGGGCACGTGGTCATAGTGTTCCAGCAGGTCCACCATGTCCAGGTCGCAGGCCATGCGGTCGGGGAACTTCCAGGAGGGGAACTGCACAGGCCCGGCACGGGAGACCACGTCCACGATGGTACCCTGCAGGTCGGTGAGGTCCTTGCGCAGGCTGTCCATGCAGGCCTGGCTGCCCAGCAGGTGTGCCATCCTCACGGCTCCTGGGCAGGCAAAGAGGAGCCCTGTTAGCAGAGCCAGGTGGCCACTGCCGGAGGAACCTTCCTAAAACCCTAATCTGCTAGGTTGCTTTAGGCCCAAAGTCTACTCCCAGACCCTGGGAGAAGCCTGTCCCAAGCCCTGGGTCCCATCCCACACCCGATACTACAATTCCATCATTCCCCAAACACCCCCTGAGAACCTGTGTGTGCAGGCCCCATGCTAAATGCTGGATGGACAAGCTGTGAACCAGAATGTCCCTACAGCCCTTCCCTCCAGGGCAGACCATCGACCAGGGCAGCGGACAACTATGTAAAAAGAGAGTTATAGCTACAGTGTGACGGGGTGTGCTGGCCACACCAGGCCACTGTCATCGCCCACCTGGACCACTCCAGCAGCTGACAGCTGGGCGACAGGCCTGCCCGCTTTACCTGATCAACTTCAGCTGCCAGAGATCTGGGCCAAACCCTATCTGATCACACCTTGCTGGCCAACCACCCCTCAAGATCCTGGTGACCCTGGGGAGAAAGGCCCTCCACGAGCCATCTGACCACCTCTGGCTACATCCCTCACCTTCCCTATCACCCCTCTCTCTGCACCATACTCACCACCACAGCTACCATCAGCTATGAGCAGCAGCTCATGTGCACCAGGCACTCTTGTTTCTGAACCCTTGTTCATCAGTTCCCTCTGTCTGAAACATGCCTTCCCTCCAATTCTCATCACCTGGCTAACGCCTCTCACCCTTCAGGATTCCTGGATCACCTCCAGGCTGGCTTAGATATTCCCTCTGGGCTCCTCCCATTAGGCATTCTCTGCCAGAATGGCCTCCACACTCTAGGCCGGGTCCTCAGCCCACCTGACTCACTGTGATCTCCCCTGTGTGGACAGCCCCTGGCCTGGCCCACTGTCGAGGCTCATTGGCAAGCGAAGGATCAAGTGATTAAACGAATAAAAGAATAAAAAGTCTGCAAAGAAAATTTAAAATGCACTGACTTTTAGGGGGCAGGAGACGAGTCCTAAAGTGTGAGAGAGGGAAAACCTGAAAATGTGATTACTGAGACCTATCACAATCTGTCCGGGGACAGAGAGCCCATTACATCTTATACAGAGAGTCTCGCCCTGGCGCTTGGCTGCACAGCCTTGCACAAGTCACTGCACCCCTCTGGGCCCCAACTGCCTCAGCTGTAAAATGAAGGCATGTCCACAGCCAGGCCGGGTTGTTGTGAGGACATTAATGTGTGCGCTGGCAAGGCATCTAGTAAAAGTTCTCAAACCATACTTTTATTACTATTAAGACTAGTGGTAGTAACAACAGCAAAGACCATCCTTGTTTTGGGTGATGCCGAGCTCCTTTACTTCCCCAATTCCCCTGTGGGCCACTGAGAATTCATCTCGCCCACCTTCCAGAGCCTGTGGACATATGAAGACAGGGATTTTGATGCACCGTCCACGGCCCCTGACTCTGAAGGTAGAGAACATGGCACTGCCCTGGCCCCACCAATGTGGTTCTTGTGCTGCTGGGGTTTCACCCTCCAGCAGGGTCGGGGGGGGCGAGTTGGCAGTTAGTTTCAGAGCCAGCTCTGTTGGGTGTCGGGAGCCTGTGCGGATGCTGAGCCCCAGTCCCTCCCAACCCTGCCAAAGGGGTCCCTTGTCCTTCTTGCATCTCCCAGCAGCAGAAAGTACCTCCTTGTACCACAACCCCCAGCCCCCTCAAAACACAGGGGCTATTTGGACAGTATTTAGGCCATGGCCCCTTCTGGCACCAAGCAAATCCAGGCCTGGCTGAGAAACCTCCCTTCCCCCAAACCTACTTCCCTCAACCTCCCTTATGTCAGAAAACAGCAGCCCCCACTGAGTACACTGTGGCTACCCGACACCTGGGCACTTCCTTGCATGCCCTTTCCCTCACTCCCATATCCAAGCATCAGATGCTGCCAATCCTGCATCCAGGCCACACAGGGAATGTGCTGGTTTCATGGACACTGCTCCAGAACCCGCATCTCTTCCCAGCCCACTTGCTTCCCTCCTTGTTCAGCCCCACTTGTCCATTCTGTCCACTGCCTGCTCATTTAAGAAGACAACTCACAGCCTGTCACCCCTGCTTAAAGCCTTTAATGGCTTTCCACAGCACTAAACGACAGAACACTTCCCGCGGTTGGTCTCCCAGCTCTGTGTGGTCTGCCCCCCACCTCAGGATCTCACCACACAGAATGCATCCCGTCCCTATGCTTCCTCTGGATAAGACACCTCCAACACTTCCCTCAGGCCTCCATCCAATGTCGTTCCTCAGGAAAGCGCTCCCGGTTTCCAAGCCAGGTTTAGGTCCCCTGTTACACATTCTCAGAGCACCCTGTTCTTTCTCTTCCCAGCACACACCACCACTGGAACTAACTCGTTATTTGAGTAACTATTTGTGGTGGTTGTTCCATTTCCCTTGCGAGTTATGGACCATGTCTTTTGAGTTCACTGCGGTATGACCTGGCAGCCTGGGCCCACAGGTGCTGGGAAGCTCAGAGGTGCCCAGAGATGGTTCCTGAGGGCTAAGCCAGCCTCTCTGGCCTTCCAGAGGACTGGGTCCTGCCCTCACCTCTGCGCAAGTGCCTGTCGTAGAGCAGGAGCTGGAGTGTCTGAGTGTGCCCAGCTCTCCGGCTGGCCTCTGGCTTCCTGTCTTCAGTGCAGGGTCTAGCTCTGAGCAGCTGTTCTGTCCCTGGGAATGGATGAAGGTGAGAGTGAGTGAGAAGGCAGTCAGGGAAGGCTTCCTGGGAGCAGAGAGGGGCTGACCGGGAGGAAGAAGGGGGTGTTCCAGGCTGGAAGAATGGAGTGAGGGAAAGGACAGGTGGGACACCGGCCATGAGCCTGAGCACAGCGAGTGTGTGTCAATAGTGCTAGCTCTATTCAGAGGACACACTGTGTGTCTATGTGTCCAAATACTCACAGTATGTCAGACAGGGCAGTGTTAGTGCCCTCTTTATATAGATGAGGAAACTGAGGCTCAGAAAACTTAGGGAGCTAGCTTAAGGTCCTCAGGGAGCTGAGATTCTGAGCCCAACATTTATGCTCCATCTTCGCATCATGCTGCTTAGAGCAGCACATTGGGAAAAAATGTGATGTGAGCCACAGTGGAATTTTAAATTTTTTACTAGCCACATTTAAAAAGTAAAAAGAAACAGGTGAATTAATTTTTATATTAGATTTTATTTAACCCAATGTACCCAATGGCATTACATAACATCAGAAGAAACAGCTGCAAACATCCATTAATAATCAGAACGTGCAATGTACGAAGAATGAATCTAGGAAATTTAGAAGTCATCAAAAATGAAATGGAGCGCATAAAGTGGTATTCGAGGCATTCGTGAGCTGAAATGGACTGGTATTGGCCATTCTGAATCAGACAATCATATGGTCTACTATGCCGGAAATGACAAATTGAAGAGGAACAGCGTCACATTTATAGTCTAAAAGAACATTTCAAGATCTATTCTGAAGTACAACACTGTCAGTGATAGGATAATATCCATATGCCAACAAAGAGGACCAGTTAATACAACTATTATTCAAATTTACACACCAACCACTAATGCCAAAGATGAAAAAATTGAAGATTTTAACCAACATCTGCAGTCTGAAATTGATCAAACATCCAATCAAGATTCATCAATAATTACTAGGAATTGGAATGCAAAAAAGTCCGAAACAAAGAAGAAGGATCAATAGTTTGAAAATATGGCCTCGGTAATAGAAACGACGCTAGAGACCACTTCATAGAATTCTGAAAGTCCAATGACTTATTCGTTGCAAATAATCTTTTTTCAACAATGTAAATGGCGACTATACACGTAGACCTCACCAGATGGAATATACAAGAATCAAATCAACTACATCTGTGGAAAGAGACGATGGAGAAGCTTAATATCATTAGTCAGAACAAGGCCAGGAGCTGACTGCAGAACAGACTGTCAATTGCTCATATGCAAGTTCAAGCTGAAGCTGAAGAAAATTACAGCAAGTCCACGAGAGCCAAAGTATGACCTTGTGTATATCCCACCTGAATTTAGAGATCATCTCAAGAACAGATTTGACCTGAACACTAATGACTAAAGACCAGATGAGTTGTGGGATGACATGAAGAAAGCAAAAGAACATTAAAAAGACAGAAAAGAACAAAATGGATGTCAGAAGAGACTCTGAAACTTGCTCTTGAACATAGAGTGGCTTAAGCAAAGGAAAAAATGATGGAGTAAAGAGCTGAACAGAAGATTTCAAAGGGCAGCTTGAGAAAACAAAGTAAAGTATTATAATGAAATGTGAAAAGACCTGGAGTTAGAAAACCAAAAGGGAAGAACACGCTTGGCATTTCTCAAGCTGAAAGAACTGAAGAAAAAAATTCAATCCTCGAGTTGCAATACTGAAGGATTCTATGGAGAAAATACTGAACGATGCAGGAAGCATCAAAAGAAGATGGAAGGAATACACAGAGTCACTGTACTAAAAAGAATTGGTTGATGTTCAACTATTTCAGGAGGTAGCATATGATAAAGAACCAATGGTACTGAAGGAAGAAGTAAAAGCTGCACTGAAGGCATTGGTGAAAAACCAGGCTCCAGGAATTGATGGCCTAACAATAGAGATGTTTCAACAAATGGATGCAGCGCTAGAGGTGCTCACCCATCTTTGCCAAGAAATTTGGAAGACAACTACCTGTCCAACCGACTGGAAGATATCCATATTTGTGAGCATTCCAAAGAAAGGTGATCCAACAGAATGCAGAAATTATCGAACAATATCATTAATACCATACACAAGTAAAATTTTGCTGAAGATAATTTAAAAGTGGTTGCAGCAGTACATTGACAGGGAATTGCCAGAAATTCAAGCCGATTCAAAAGAGGAAGTGTGTCTTAGTTATCTAGTGCTGCTATAACAGAAATAGCACAAGTGGATGGCTTTAACAAAGAGAAATTTATTCTCTCACAGTCTAGGAGGCTACATGTCTGAATTCAGGGTGCCAGCTCCAGGGGAAGGCTTTCTCTCTCTGTCAGCTCTGGAGGAAGGTCCTTGCATTCAATCTTCCCGTGGACTAGGAGCTTCTCAGTGCAGAGACCCTGAGTCCAAAGGATGCGCTTTTCTCCTGGCTCTTGATTCTTGGTGGTGTGAGGTCCCGGTGTTTCTCTGCTCGCTTCTCTCTTTTATATCTCAAAAGAGACTGATTTAAGACACAGTCTAATCTTGTAGATTGAGCCCTGCCTCATCAACATAACTGCCGCTAATCCCATCTCATTAACATCATAAAGATAGGATTTACAACACAGAAAAATCACATCATATGACAAAATGGTGGACAATCACACAATACTGGGAATCATGGCCTAGCCAAGATGACACATATTTTGGGGGGACACAATTCAATCCATGACAACGTGGAACAAGGGATATCATTGCTGATATTAGACGGATCTTGGGGAAAGCAGAGATTACCAGAAAGATATTTACCTGTGTTTTATTGACTATGCAAAGGCATTCGACTGAGTGGATCATAACAAATTATGGATAACATTGCAAAGGATGGGAATTCCAGAACACTTAATTGTGCTCATGAGGAACCTGCACACTGACCAAGAGAGAGTTATTCAAACAGAACAAGGGGATACTGCATGGTTTTAAATCAAGAAAGGGGTGTGTCAGGGTTGTATCCTTTCACCATACTTATTCAATCTGCAGGGTGAGCAAATAATCTGAGAAGCTATACTATATGAAGAGCAGGGCATCAGGATTGGAGGAAGTCTCATTAACAACCTGCGATATGCAGATGACACGACCTTGCTTGCTGAAAGTGAAGAGGACTTAAAGTACTAACTGATGAAGATCAAAGACTATAGCCTTCAGTATGGATTGTACCTCAACATAAAGAAAACAAAAATCTTCACAACTGGACCAATAAGCAACATCATGATAAATGGAGAAAATACTGAAGTTGTCAAGGATTTCATTTTACTTGGATCCACAATCAATGCCCATGGAAGCAGCAGTCAAGAAATCAACGTATTGCACTGGGCAAATCTGCTGCAAAAGACTGCTTTGAAGTGTTGAAAAGCAAAGATGTCACCTTGAAGACTAAGGTATGCCTGATCCAAGCCATGGAGTTTTCAATTGCCTTATATGCATGTGAAAGCTGGACAATGAGCAAGGAAGACAGAAGAACTGACACCTCTGAATTACGGTGTTGCTGAAGAATATGGAATATACCATGGACTCCCAGAAGAATGAATAAATCTGTCTTGGAAGAAGTTCAGCCAGAATGCCCCTTACAAGTGAGGATGGTAAGACTTCATCTCACATACTTTGGACATGTTATCAGGAGGGACCAGTCCCTGGAGAAGGACATCATGCTTGGTAAAGTGGAGGGTAAGCCCAAAAAAGGAAGACCCTCAATGAGATGGATTGACACAGTGGCTTCAACAATGGGCTGACACATAGCAGACATTGTAAGGATAGCGCAGGACCGGGCAGTGTTTTGTTCTGTTGTACACAGGGTCTTTGTGAGTTGGAACCAACTCAACGGGACCTAACAATAACAACAATCCAAAATACTATCATTTCAACATGAAATCAATATAAAGTTATTAAGGAGATATTTTCCATTCCTGGTTTTATTAAATCTCAAAAGCCCGCGTGTATTTGATACTTAACAGCTCATCTCAACTTGGACCAGCCACCAATTCAAATGCTCGACAGTCACATAGGCTGGTGGCCACAGTACTGGAATGCACAGGTGTGGAGGATCAGACACTGTGTGTTCATTTAACAATTGTTGACCGAGAAGCTGCTATACACTGGGTGCCATGTCAAGAACTGGGGACAGAGGATGGCAATAGAGCTCTGTCCTAAAGCACCCACCATCTATGTCTGAGGGTCTCTGCTGTGGGTCAGTCTTGGGTCTGTGAGCTCCGTGGGCTCCACCCACACTGATGGGAATGCCATGTGTGTCTGCCCCGTGCCAAGCACGTGCATGCACTGCTCTAGCATGGGCCACATCCTGTACACACACTGACTTGGCGACTGCCTGTCATGAGATTTTGCTGCCCACAAGATTTTATGTCCCCAAGGCATAAGGCAGAAACCAACAGAAAAAAAAAAAAAACACATTGAAACATTCTGGGTTTCCTTCCTATCATGGGGTGGGGGGGAAATGAAGCAAGCAAGAAGCCTCAACTTGGGCAGAGATGTATTCAGGTGGCAAAGCACCTGGAACTCATGGCTTGCTTGTTGAAGACACCATGAAACACCAGTCTGTCCACTTTCAAATCACCACAGCTGCCATCTGGGGCCATCTTAGATAACAGTGCCCATTAGTTTCTGGTTCAGATAAGCAGCAGCAAATGCCAAAGCAACAAGAAGAATATACAAGAGGAAAACATAATATTGAAAAATATCCAACATTACCTTATATGGTTTCTTCTGAAAATCGGGGTTATGCAGATATACGGATGGTTTGAGAACCATGTCAAGAGAAGGAGACTCGATAACGTTTTTCTCTGTAATTCCTCAGCCTGGAGCTGCAGCCCACAGGTGATGGGCACCAATTGAGCCAGCACTGCCATTAGGTAGGAGCAGCAGCTAACTTGTCTCTCCTCAGCTCCCTCTGGCTCAAGGCGAGCTTTTGCCTTCCCTTTTATTCAACATTCAAGCCCCATTCCCCTCTCTGGGCCCTAGTACCCTACCCTACTGGTAAAGAATACACCCACCTTGCTCAGATTTTAGGACACTGCCGTGAGAACACTTTGGAAACTCTAAAACCGTTTGTCAGTCTCTCTATATACAGCAGTTGTCAATCTCTAACTTGGGGAATGCTAATTGCCTGGATCCCTGGAGACACTGAAGGGACTGAATGAAGACAAACGAATAACGAATTGCACTTGCAGAGGTGAAAGACTGGCCTGGGTTTGGATTCCCACTGTGCTAACTCTGAACTTCACTGTCCTCATCTGTAAACCGGTTGATAAAAAGGATAAATGATATAATGCATATAAAGTGTTGACCACAGGGTCCGACTCATGGTAAATGCTCAGTAGATCCTAGCTGTCATTAGTACTCTCCATTAATAATGACTACAACGACACAAACCAGCTATAGTGTGTGAATGATGGAGAACATCTATCAGCTTCATTTCACAGGTGAGGAAACTGAAGTCCAGGCACCGCTCAGAGCCCCCTCTCCGCATTCTGGAGCCAGGAGGGAAGGTAAAGGAGGCAGGGTTGAGGGGGTTTCGGGACAGGAAGCAAAGTGGACCTGATTCAAGGCGCGCCTCTGGAAGCGAGGGGCGTGGTCGGCAAGGAGACACCAGTGGGGATGAGGGGTGGAGCCTAAAGAAGTAGCCCTGATCTGGGAAGCCCAGTGGGGTTTGGGGGCGGGACTATGGAGGGAAGGGGGTGGAACCTAGAAAAGGGAGGCCCGCGGGAAAGAGACCAGAGGGAGTTGAGGGTCCGTGACTTTGAAGGGGAGGTTGGAGGATGTGGGCCTGAAGCGAGTAAGAGGGATTAAGGCAGAAGGGAGGTGAGGCTTTGAGGAGGAGGCCTGAGGGGCCTTGAGAGGCGGGGTCTGAGTGAGCGGGGAACAGGCCTGTGGAGTAAATGAGGGGGCCAGGGCCCCAAGGTGTGTCCGGGGAGCTACTGGCGGGGAGATGTAGGACATCTCACCTGTCTTCAGCTTCGTGGCCTCAGCCCCTGGATCTGGCCGGCTCATGGAACTGGCCCCGGCACGCCTGCGGCTCCCGGGATCCCCAGAAACCCCAGGCCAGGCGCCTGTACCGCTGCCATGGCAACGGCGTCGCGTGAGACCCATTCGCTGGGGTAGGGACGGGAAGCCACGCCCGGCCGAGGGGGCGGTCCCGGAAGTGCGTCAGCCTAGCCTCGTTGAAGATGAGTCACTCGGCCGTCTCCGCCGCCATCTTGTGAGCTCGTCGTACCGTCTGTGCGGGAAGGTGTCTTGACGCAGCACTGCTAACCGAAACCGAGGCGGACTGGCAGCCCTGAGCGTCGCAGTCATGCCGGCCGGACCCGTGCAGGCGGTGCCTCCGCCGCCGCCCGTGGCCACCGAGCCCAAACAGGTACCGCGCCCCCGTACCTCGACCGGTAGACCCAGCCTAGGCCTGGGCCCTCCCCTCCCGGCGCGGGTGTTCCTCAAGCGTGCAGGAAGAAGCGGTCGCTTTGGAGGGACTGCAAGTCCCAGGAGGCAGCGCGCTTCCCGCGGCGCGCTGCTTTTTGGCAGCGAAGAGAACGCTGGAACAGTGGTTCTCAAAGTGTGGTCCGCGGACCAACAGCGTCAGTATCACCTAGGAGCTTGTTAGAATTGCAGAATATCCGACCCCAGCCCTTCTGAATAGGAACCTGCATTTTAACGTGCACCCAGGGTGATTCATATACACATAAAAGTTTGAGAAGCACTGATCCAGCTGCTCACCGACACCCCCGCCCCAGCCTTTGTCCAGTAATTCCTAATTTTCCAGTCCGTACGGCCGATCATTGGATGTTAAATCTCAACATCTACAAGACAGTGTGCCTGGCTCTGAAGGTACTACAATGAATGAGGCCCAGCCCTTGCTTTAGGGAGTTCACAGGCTAGTGGGAGAGACATATATGTGAATACTCAACAGTTATTTATTGTCTTTGTCATCATAAATTACACAGTTCCAGTCACCACTTGAAAAACTCTCAGTCAGCAGAGGGGGAAAATGCCCATAAATAATTGCAATGTGGTGGGTTATGCCCTACAATAGAAGTATGTAACAGGGACAAAAAAAATAGTCTAACCAGCATTGCTTTGATGGAGTAGAGGGGAGGTTAAGGTAGGTGAAGCCCAAGGAGTGAGAGATAAGTTGCTTTTAAAAGGATGAGTAAGAGTTTGGAGGAGAAATAGTATTTTTCATTCAGTATTTATTGAGCACATATTATCTACTGCTTTGGGTTCAGAATACAACAGGGAACATAACCAGGCACTGGGGAAAAATAAACAAGGTAACATCGGATAAGGTAATAAGTGCAAAGGCACTGAGGTAGGAAGCCGATGATGCCTCTGGTCGAGGTTAAATAGATAGTTGTGGTTGAAGCATAGGGTTGGGAGGGTGGTGGCAGGAAATACAATTCTGAGGATTTGAACTTGGTTTGTAGACAGTGAGAAAAGGAAGAGAAGCAGGATAGTGATAGGTTTTGTTTTTACTGTGTTGTTAGGTGCTGTCAAGTCTGTTTCGACCCGTAGTGACCCTGTGTGTAATAGAACAAAACATTGCCCGGACCTATGTCGTTCTCACAGTCGTTGCTGTGTTTGAGCCCATTGTTGCAGCCACTGTTTCAGTCCATCTCCTTGAGGGTCTTCCACTTTTTGGCTGACCCTCTACTTTACCAAGCATGATGTCCTCCAGGGATAACACGTCCAAGGTATGAAGTTTGTGAGATGAAGTCTCGCCATCCTCACTTCTAAGGAGCATTCTGGCTATACTTTTTCCGAGACATATTTGTTCGTTCCTCTGATAGTCCATGGTATATTCAGTGTTCTTTGCCAAAACCGTAATTCAAAGGCATCGATTCTTCTTGGGTCTTTCTTATTCATTGTCCAGCTTTCACATGCATATGAGGTGATTGAAAATACCATGGCTTGGGTCTGGCACACCTTAGTCCTGAAAGTCATATTTTTGCTTCTGAACATTTTAAAGAGGTCTTTTGCAGCAGATTTGCCCAGTGCAGTATGTCATTTCATTTCTTGATTGCTGCTTCCATGGGTGTTGACTGTGGATCCAAGTAAAATGAAATCCTTGACAACTTCAGTATTTTCTCCGTTTATCATGATGTTGCTTATTGGTCCAGTTGTGAGGATTTTTGTTTTCTTTACATTGAGGTACAATCCATACTGAAGGCTGTAGTCTTTGATGTTCATCAGTAAGTGCTTCAAGTTCTCTTCACTTTCAGCAAGCAAGGTTGTGTCATCTGCATATTGCAGGTTATTAATGAGTTTTCCTCCAATCCTGATGCCCTGCTCTTCATATAGTCCAGTTTCTCGGATTATTTGCTCAGCCTACAGATTGAATAAGTATGGTGAAATTATCCAACCCTGACGCCCAACTTTCCTGATTTTAAACCACGCTGTATCCCCTTCTACTCGAATGGCTGCCTCTTGGTCTATGTACAGGTTCCACATGAGCACAGTTAAGTGTTTGGAATTGCCATTCTTCGCAATGTTGTCCATAGTTGTTACGATCCGTACAGTCAAACACCTTTGCGTAGTTAGTAAAACAATAGGTAAACATCTTTCTGGTATTTGCTTTCAGCCAAGGTCCTTCTGACATTAGCAGTGATAGCCCTTGCTCCACATCCTCTTCTGATTCTGGCTTGAGTTTCTGGCAGTTTCCTGTTGACGTACTGCTGCAACTGTTTTTTGATTATCTTTAGCAAAATTTTACTTGTGTGGAATATTAATGATATTGTTCAATGATTTCTGCATTCTGTTGGATCACCTTTCTTTGGAATGGGCACAAATATGGATCTCTTCCAGTCTGTTGGACAGGAAGCTGTCTTCCAAATTTCTTGGCATAGACGAGTGAGCGCATCCAGCGTTGCGTTTGTTGAAACATCTCAGTTGGTATTCGTCAATTCCTGGAGCCTTGTTTTTCACCAGTGCCCTTAGTGCAGCCTGGACTTCTTCCTTCAGTAACGTCAGTTCTTGATCATATGCTACCTCCTGAAATGGTTGAACGTCGAGTAATTCTTTTTTGGTACGGTGACTCTGTGTACTCCTTCCATCTTTTGATGCTTCTTGCGTTGTTCAATATTTTGTCAGTAGAATCCTTTGGTATCGTAACTCAAAGCTTGAATTTTTTCTTCAGTTCTTCCAGCTTGAGAAAAGCCAAGTGTGTTTTTCCCTTTTGGTTTTCTAACTGCAGGTCTTTTCATGTTTCATTATAATGCTTGTTTTCTCAAGCCACCCTTTGATATCTTCTGTTCAGCTCTTTTACGTCATCTTTTTTCCTTTTGCTTTACCTGCTCTTTATGTTCAAGAGCAAGTTTCAGAGTCTCTTCTGACATCCATTTTGATCTTTTTCTTTCCTGTCTTTTTAATGATCTTATGCTTTCTTTTATATATGATATTCTTGATGTCATTCCACAGTTCGTCTGGTCTTTGGTCATTAGTGTTCGGTCCATTAAATCTATTCTTGAGATGGTCTCTAAATTCAGGTGGGATATACTGAAGGTCATACTTTGGCTCTCCTGGACTTGCTGTAATTTTCTTCAGCTTCAGCTTGAACTTGCATATGAGCAATTGAGATCTGTTCTGCAGTTGGCCCCTGGCCTTGTTCTGACTGATGATATTAAGCTTCTTCATCGTCTCTTTCCACAGATGTGGTTGATTTGATTCCTGTGTATTCCATCTGGTGAGGTCCACGTGTATAGTTGCCATTTATGTTGTTGAAAAAAGATATTTGCAATGAGTAAGTCATTGGTCTTGGAAAATTCTATCATGCGATCTACAGCGTAGTTTCTGTCACCAAAGCCGTATTTTCCAACCTCATTCCATCTTTGTTTCCAGTTTTTGCATTCCAATCACCAGTAATTACATTGCATCTTGATTGCATTTTTTATTAATTTCAGACTGCAGAAGTTGGTAAAAATCTTCAATTTCTTCATCTTTGGCATTAGTGGTTGGTGTGTAAATTTGAATGATAGTCATATTAACTGGTCTTCCTTGTAGGCATATGGATGTTATCTTATCACTGACAGAGTTGTGCTTCAGGATAGATCTTGAAATGTTCTTTTTAACAGTGAATGCCACGCCATTCCTCTTCAGTTTGTCATTGCCAGCATAGTAGACCATATGATTGTCTGATTCAGAATGGCCAATACCAGTCCATTTCAGCTCACTAATGCCTAGGATATCGGTCTTCAAGCATTCCATTTCATTTTTGATGACTTCCAATTTTCCTGGATTCATACTTCATGCATTTCATGTTCCAATTATTAATGGATGTTTGCAGCTGTTTCTTCTGATTTTGAGTCATGGCACATCAGCAAATGAAGGTCCTAAAAACTTTACTCCATACACATCATTAATATCGACTCTACTTTGAGGAGGCATCTCTTCCCCAGTCATATTTTGAGTGCCTTCCTACCTGAGGGGCTCATCTTCCAACACTATATCAGACAGTATTCCTCTGCTATTCATAAGTTTTTCACTGGCCAGTTTTTTCAGAAGTAGACCACCAGGTCCTTTTTCCTAGTCTATCTTAGTCTGGAAGCTCCGCTGAAATCTGTCCACCATGGGCGACTCTGCTGGTATTTCAAATACTGGTGGCATAGCTTCCAGCATAACAGCAACACACAAACCACCACTGTACAATAAACTGACAGACAAGTGGTGTGTTTTTACCATACTACATATTTACATTAACCAAAAAGGATACAAATGAAGAGACACATAGGGTGGGATCTGGGAGGGGTCCCAGTGCAGAACTTCCATGTGCTTAGGGACACTGACCCTCCAGAGATCAGATATGCTCCAACTAGGAAGCTCAGAGCTTTTGTCAGCTTCATCACATGGTCATGATAGGTTATATCATGTCTCCTGAGGCTAGTCAACATTGTGCCACCAGTTGGCCCTCTTGGTCTGGTCAGCCCCCATTCGTTCGTTTCAGATGTAGTCCTGCTCTCAGGAAGCCAGAACAAAGGCTAAATTGCTTTCTGCACCTTACAGAACCTTTTGCTGATATGGGAGAGATGACAGAAACAACAGATGTGAGTATAGGAATACTTCTAAATTTAATGGTGTGGACATCAGGTTTCTGTTCCAACATGTAAAGAACTTGGAAGTCATCACTCCCTTTAGGGACCTT